CACCAAATTAGCATTTCTTTTTCCTCTAGTAGCATGACAGATATCTAATCCTCTATAAGAACTCTTCACTGACTTGTAAATCAATCATTAGATGTCTGCCACTTCCATTTGAATAACAAGGCTAAATATACTACTCGTGCTACGACAAAGAATGCTAATTCATTGGCCAAATAAAGGAAACAATAACTTAATAGAACTAAGAACTAATTCCACTACCTAACCCAACAATTTCGGCAGACATCAGGATCACATTCACGCCCAGCAGCAAAGCATGGGCACTGCCTGCTTCTGCATTGACTCTTTGCACAGTGGCAACCTCTGAAACGATTTTTGCAACTCTTGGAGCACCTGAACAAATAAAAGCTATCAACTGAATAAAATTCCAAATTGAATTTCTTTACTTACTGTATTAAAGTGAAACTAAAGTAATCTTAGGTCGACAGAGAGGCCCAAGAAACAGTAAGTATGGAATTCCATGCGGAATAATATGAGAACAAAAAAGGTTCAGTTAGCACAAACTATTATCCATTTATAGTTAATTAAACAAGTCCTGTCTGTGTTTCTACAACTACTATATTGGTGAAAACATTTTTATTCACATTCTTAACAAGCTGTCCAAAATGAAATGTTGACTGAAACAAACATGAAATATTCAATTTGAGGCCTTCCACTGAAGAGGACCTCAAACCCCTAGAATAGCATTACAGGTTGTTCTATACCATCACAGATCCTGTTTGCAACTTAAGCGAGAAAAATTAACATACCCACAATACTTTTCGCAGCAAGTTCCATGACTTAGACAAGGACATTGCTTCCCACATATGGGCTGGCATCCACATGGTGTATAATGCTTACAAAATTCACTTTTGCCATCTGCAATTCTTTTCCAACTTGATGGGTGGCCAGCAGACTTCCAAGAATATTTCAGCTTTCGTGTTTTGCCCCTTCTGCGAAGTAACCTTCCTCTTGTTGGTATTTCTTGCTCCTACCATAGTAGAGTAAAAGGATAATAGAATGCACATTAACCTTACCAGGCTCCAAAATGCAGTATACCATTGAAAGAACAGTAAAGGCTAAGTTAATGGTAAGTCCATAACATTATTATTGACAATTTATAGAAAGATACAAGTCAAAGTTAGTAAATTCAGGTTCACTCTTCCTCTCTATTTTGATCCAGAGCAACTTATTTCTTCCTTAAGCTCTTCCTACTGTCAATGGACCACTTTTTCTCTGTTTGCTTGTCTGCACTTCTGACTCAAGCAAACAAAGCAAACAAATCTAAAATAGCAGGTCCTTGTAATTGCTAATTTTTCATTTCACTCTGAAGTAGTGGCTCTTATACTCTGTATTTTCTGTGATTTAGAATATAAGCATTGATATAAATTGGTGAAAACAAGTTGCCTTTGCTCAAGAAGGCAACTAACAAAGTCAATCAGAGATGGTACCAAATGTACAATGTCATAATGTTATGCAAAATGAAAGCCTATTTCCTTCAAAAGACCAATGACAACTAAGAAAGCTTAAAAAAAATATCACAATTAGCATGTATACCAAATTATCTGAGTCAGCTTTCCCTTTGTCCTCTGAAAATGAATTGGGTGTAATAGATCTGTTAAGAACTGAAGATCCATTGTCACGCATGTAAATTGATACTTCTATGCAAGTCTTCAAGCCGGAAAGTAGGTTTCTGGCTATAAGGCAACTGCATGCATGAATTGTGTATTAATCACAAAACTAATAATACTAATAAAGAAAAAACAAGCCTTCGTATAGATACAAAAGAAAAGAATCCAAAGCCTGCAATAAATCAATATCTAAATATAATGAATCAGGTCATGAGAAGTTTGTTAAAGCAGAAAGCAGAAAATGAACGATATATGAATTGCACAATAATCACTCAACTTGCCCTCAGCAATTTTGTAATCACAATGACACCTCTTCAAAGTGATCTATTATTATTATTTAAGAGCACTCCATGCATGAATAATCTTCATAACTTCGTGAATATGTTTGCAAGGAAACCAATAAGTAAGAGTCATAGTAGTGTGTGTGCTTTTTTTTCTGGGGATTTGGGGGGGGGGGG